GGAGTAGTGAAGTGGACTCGGGAGGAGCTGTATCAACTCGACGTAAAGACCCGAAAAATGATGCATCTCTATAGGAGTTTGCATCCCGAATCGTTCGTTCCACAGTTGTAATTCCCCCGACAACAGGGAGGCCGTGGACTTTTGAGTTTGGAGTGTCTACATGACAGAATGATACTGGATACAGCCTGTAAAGTCGTCAGGAGTTCGGATCCCCTTCTCTGCATGGTCCGTGACCATGAGAGAGCAGGAATTGGAGCATTTCTCTTCAGGGCAGGTGCCCGAGCAGCTGATGAACTCGGTATAGTTTTCAACACTGAACGAGGTGACCACAACTCACCGAGTTGGAACCCGTTCAGCAAAAAGCTCATATAAAAGCCGCAGAGATAACCTCGCTTCTACGGAAACACAAGGGTAAGCCAATGCATGGGGTCTTCTTCATAACATTGGATACATCAAAACGCCGGACTTTTGCTTTCCTCAGGTCGAGTGGGCTGAAGTCGAAAACTGAGGGATTCATCATGGCTTGCCAAGATGGTGTCTTCAACACCCTAGTCTACTGCAGTTGCATGATGGGTATAGAGGTTCCTGACACAAGGCGCCCGAGACCCTAATGCACTTGCTATCAGCATGTCCAGCATATGCGGTCTCGGCCTATATCCATCGACATAATGCGGACCTTAGATTGCTATATTACCATCTACGGCACTCTTAGGGTATTGATGAGACACCGGTGTTGCCCTACACTTCGGGGGATATTGAATCCGTTGTGGGGAACGAGAAGTGCCGAATTTATTGGAACTATTCGTTCCCCACCCTCAGGCTCATACAGTCTAATAAGCCTGATGTAATCCTTCTCGACCACCAGAGCGAGACGATATTTGTCGTGGAGTTTTCAGCTCCTGGCGAGACTAATATCGTCCGAAAAGAGGAGGAGAAGCGGATAAAATTTGAGATATAAGATATCTGAGATGTATTCCTCTATACCCGTGGTCGTCAAATTGCGGCCCGCGGCCGATATTTTTGCGGCCCGCCACGAAGTAAATAATTTCAATAGTCAGCTACATTTCATAACAAAATCAAAACTGATTTTGCGTTCGAATCCGACGACGGCGACGCGCTGTGCTTGCTCGTTACTGGGGGTACGGGGGCGAAGTCACGACCCGCTCGCCACGCCGATATACCACACTTGAGTCGAGTGTCAAGAAAGAAGAGCTGTGAGCCATTTCATTTGTTTCAACGCACAAGACTGAACGTTTCTTGCATTACGAGTGTAATGGCGGGTGTATCATATAAATGTGCTACTAAAAGGAACATAACTGATGAGAATAGGAGTTTTCAAGAAAAATGGGAGGAAGAGTTTTGTTTTAGAAGTGGATATAAGGAAGGTACTGCGATATGTTTATGATGCCGGGAAACTGTGGTCGGAATTAAGCGATACAATTTATTTCGGCACTACACAAGTAGGCATAGTTCATTTACTGAAACCTACCCTTTATACGATTCGAAGAAAGAATAAAATAATTCATTTGAAATCGCCAATTCATCGTCAACAAAATATAATGACCACAGCAGTCGGGCAAAATGAGGCTATTACAAAAGCATCGTACCAAGTATGTAACAACATTCTTGCAACCTTTACTGATGCTGAATTGATAAAAGAGTGTATGATAACTGTTTCTCAAACGTTGTTTCAAAATTTTTCAAATAGTAAACAAATAACCGCAGAAGTAAAGAAGCTTACGCTTTCTGAATCCACCTGTTGCCGCCGTGTTGAAGATATTTCGAAAAATTTGTTTGATGCAGTAATTGACAAACTGAAAAACTGCAAATATTTCAGTCTTGCTTGTGATTCCAATACGGATATAACTTCTATGTCTCAGTGCTCATTATTTGTTCGGTACTGCACAATGGAGGGAATCATAGAAGAAGACTTCTTAGCAGTAATTACCATGAAGGGGCATACGAGAGGTTGTGATTTTATGGAAGTTCTAAAAGAATTTGTGGAAAAACATAGAATACCTGTAAAAAAGTTGATATCAGTGTGTACTGATGGTTGTCCATCAATGGTGGGTGCAACTAATGGTTTGATTGCTNTATATATATATGTGACCGCTGCTCTATACTAACCAGTTGCTGTCAAATTTTCAAATAGTCCGTTAATAATGCAAGAGCGTTAGAAAAAAACCATTGTAATCCAAAATGCTTAACAAAAGATTGTGATTTATAGTATTAAACGCCCGGTTGAAACACCGTACATTTGTTTTCATCTATTGCTTTCATTATATATCATCCGCAATATGTAGAAGGGCATTTGAACAGCTATGCCCTTTCCGAAATGCCTATTGAACATAAGGCAACAGAGAAAAGTTCAAAATATGGTTTTTAATTTGGAATTCCATGGTACTCTCCAGGATTTTTTACAATACAGGCAGGATACTGATACCCCTCAAATATTTAAACTCCATTGGATTTTGTGTTTTAGGCAGAACCTTCACAATGGCTATTTTCCAGATAGTTGGGCAGACAATCGCTGTTGAACAGAAATTTATGATAGGGTAAAACCGGGATAGATGCCCCAGCGGGATGGATGCCTGATATCCTAAAAAGCTAACTTCTCGAACTCGCGATTAAGAATTAATTCTATAGTAGGAGCCGCAGTCACCCCGTACCTCATGTACCCAAAGACAATTGTGTCATGTAGAAGCGTTTGGCTCGTGCGTGTATTTATCTCCGCGACGACATTCAGAAACACGTCAAAGATTCAAAGGTTAGTATTTTGCGTTGTATAACTTTATAATTAGTATTAAATTCCGATATATTTTTTATTAAGTCAATATTCTGGTTCATTGAGTCTACATCTAGGTGCAAATAGATTCGTTTTTTTAAAATTTATTGAAACAAATACTTTGGTATCTATCCCTATCAGACAGGGTGGTTGCTCTGCTTTTTCAAGGTATAGGTGCCCTTAGGGGCATCTATCCCTCCATATCCTCCATATCCCTGTCATTAATGATTTCAGCCGAACTATGCCATGAAATTATAAAAGAAAGGAAGAAATGCAAGCTCGAGTATGTTCGTGGACCAGAGAAAACCTACAGTCAGATTTCGATGAANCAAAAAGATAAATGTCTCCGAACCGAATATAATAATATCAGGACAACAATTCTGCTTCGATAAGTTTGTTGGGGGTTGAAATGGACACCAATATGTCTTGGGACAATCATGTCGCTGGAATTGTAAAGGCTGCTTTTCGAAAGCTTGGAACACTGTTCCGAACCAGAAAACTGTACACACCCCAGCAACTTATGATGTTTTATAAAGCTCAGATCAGACCTACTCTGAGGTATTGTTCCCATGTATGGAGCTTCGGCCCTAAGCATGCCCCGAAGATGCTGTATTCCTTATAGAAAAGAGTTGGTGACAAGAACATCACTGGCAACCTTGATAGTCTGGATCACCGAAGAAAGGAGATTTGTCACTCTTTTATAGATACTTTCACAGGAGATGTTCAAGTGACTTGGTACATTTGATTCCACCAAGAGCAGTGCATCTCAGAAATATGTGACGGACTGTGACTGCTCATCGTTTTGAGGTTCAACTCAGTACACCTCGAACTTCACTGTTTAGTAACTATCTTCTTTGAAAAACCGCGTTTATGTGGAATAAACTTCCTAAGAACGTTTTCCAAATGAATTTAATCTCTAGCAATTCAAATCCAACGTGAATCGCTACTTTCACACAGGCACCACTCTAGCATTTCATAAGTCAGCCCGTGTTTACGTCCCTCGTCAGCGGACTTTTCGGCAGAAGTATCTTGAAGATTTTATATGGCAGCCTCCTGATATGTTCAGTGATTGTCTCGACTCCTGCCAGATCTAACAGATCATTCAATGAAATGTATCTGTCACTGTTCGTGCAGATACGGAGCACCTTATTCTGCATCGTTTCGAGTCTCCGCAGAGGAGTCCTCTTGAGGCTGCAGAATACGGGACAAGCGTACAACATAGCTGGTCTGATTACTTGTTTGTAAATTAGCAGCTTGTTGTCTACACTAAGCTGCGTTTACCCGCAGCACCTGCTCGTTGGATCGCCAAGCTCAAATGTTCCTGAAAATTCAGGCCCTATCCAGGATAACTCCCAGATATCGTGCGCTCCTCTGCTCGTCAACGCATTCCTTTACTCGCAACTTCCCGAAGACCTTCACGTTAGTAAATTTCTTCGTGAAGTTGAATAATTCTGTTTTATTAGGGTTAATCTTGATTCTGTTACGCTCGAAATACGATATTTGATTGAACTTGGTGTGCTCTTTTGATCTTAGCTCTCCTGAGCTCTTCCATTGGGAAGATTGGACTTTGGTTTCAATATCATAACCATATACCCATGATTCGACACCAGTTTTTTTTTGGTCAAAATTCAGAAATTTTGAAACGAACTTCGATGCCTCAAAATTTACGAAAGAATTGCATGGCATGAGCCAACCGATATGCCGACATTCTCAGCAACTTCTCTAATAGTGATTCGATGATTCTCTGCAACAATTTTCTTCACTTTGTCAACATTCTCTTGTGTTGATGTGCTGTTGATGTGCTGGGGCATACAGGGCGAGCATCGTCAATCACATCTTCTTGACATTCTGTGAAAAACTTGTACCACTCGTTAACATTTTTCTAACAGAGTACAATCACCATATGAGTACTTTGAGCACTCAATTCAATTTTTTACACAAAGGTTGTGGGGGATAAAGTTTTCTGCGACAAAATAAAAAACTATGTAGAACTAGAAATATAGAACTATGCTGAATGCAATTGTTCCATGCATATTTTTACAATCATTATTCTGCAAATTGATAATAATTTCAAACATTGAAATTTTATGACAAAATTTAAATTGTATCTGCGGAAAGAAGTTGCACGCAACAAAATCCAGACCCATATAGGTATTATAGAATATGCCGAATAGGCAGATTTTCCAGTCTGTCCGACTATTTTCAGAACAAAAAATGTGACTAAAATGATCCATAGAGGTCATGAAACTGTTAAGGAAAAAAAATTGTGTTTTGCTCCCTAATTCCCTCCTATGTGCTAACACATATTCATCTCACTCCTCCTAATATACAAACGCTATGTCATCAATTGAAATTATTTGTATTAACTGAGAATAGTTTATAATGTGTTGCTAGAGTCATACTTTTTTTCAAGTATTAATTAAATCTGAATCTATTTTGGTTTCAATAAGAGCTAATTTTTTTCTGAAGAGATGTTTGTTGATTGTCATTAGCAAGTTAGGTTTTGATATCGACAACAAGGTATCATCGGCAAACAAGTAGATGAAAGTGAAATGCTTTATTCAAATAGGGTACATCACAGTGGTGAAAGAATTTAATGTCATTGATGAAAATTATATATAATTTTTTGAATTTTCACCTTGTTTTAAAAGTTCCTAAATTCACCTATTGATCTGTTGATGTCTTCTATTGATTCATTCAAAATGTTAGCATGTTTCTATTGATTGAAGCAATTTCTCATAAATTTTCTTCACAATATTTTTTTTATTTTTCCTCAATTCCACCTCTTAGATTGCCTGGAAAATGCAAAGGTGATGTTTTTTTTAAGATGTACGTCACAATATTTACACCCCATTTACTCCCCTTCAGACGACCTGGAAAACTAGGACATTTCACTTATTTCACCAAGCTAATCAACGACCATATTATATTGAAAAATGGTAGGTGTAAAGGCATTGAAAAAAAAAATCAATAAAATATTTTCTATCAGTGTAAGTTGTGGATCACGCCACTGAATAAAAACCGATTGAACCAGAGGGAGATTTTACTCAAAACAAATAACACAGTTTATTTCAAATACGAAACAAAGTAATTCAAGTTTCAACTCGATTGAAGTTTTTCTAAAACTGAACCAAATAGTACTTACATTGGAGCCACTTGCTTCTCGAATTACACCAGGGTAATACCAATCGCCTTGTCTAGATAAAACTCTATGATTGCACCACTCACTGAGATCAACAATATTTTGCTTGGTATTAATTTGTTCATATATTCCATTCACTTGAGTTGTGAAACGTTGGGGAACAGAATAATCCACAGCAGTGGCTTGAGGTGCTGACATTATACTGGAACACTGCACTACTGACACAGGGGTATAACCACTCTGAGGAGTATTTTCTTCCAGTTCAGATGGATCAAATTTACGCTTCTTAGGCAATACACGTACCCCCATTTCCATGTTTACTGGGATTAACTATTTTATATCACTATTCCATTTCCTCAGAATACGAAGGGTATATATTTTCTAGGGCAATCCTATGTTTTAATGCTACCATTTACTAGGTCTACTTATTGCACATTGCTGAACAGCAGAAGCAGAATATATCCCTGTTGCCCCCAAAAATTTCATTTCAGTTCTTTCTATATAGTTGTATAAGAATTGGTAATAACAAACACCACTTTATGAATGAAATGTATAGTAAATGATAGTAAATAAACATCTTTCCTGTCATATGGATGAATGTATAAAAACATCATATATACATCCACTGTAGAATGATGGTTGTTCTTTTATTGTCTCAAAACACTGAGAAGTACTGTTTTTCCATTACCAAACTTTTAATTGAAATACAAGGAATTGATCACATCACATTGTATCCTCAAAGCAACCACACAATCACAAAGTACAATAATCACAGCAATCATACTATCACAGAATATAAAAAAGGTATAAGATTCATTATAGATGGGGCTATCAGTAGAATTGTCATAATATTGTCAACATGTCATGTTAAAATCTTAGAACAGGTTTTTCGAATATCTTCTTCTTGATTTTGAACCCGTTCTCCTCGGGAAACATATGGTCAGGGCTGAGGTCAGGACACAGAATATCTTACAGAAAGAACACTCAGCACGGTACAGGAACCATTATTTGAAAATCTAGAGGTGATTACTGTCAACTTGAATATTTCGTTGAGTGGTTAGTGTAATTGAACATGATAAAATTAAGCTAATTTGGTTTGAATTGTTGAAATGTTGGCCTAACAACCTGCCGAAATGACATCGCAATGATTCCTCGACTGCAATCAAATTATATATCTGACGAGTTTCATATAACTTGAATTTGTCGTTAAAATTACATTAAACACCTCGAACTTGGTTTTATTTTAACAGTAACGTCATAAATAAAATAATAATAATAATATAATATATCTTGAGTAGGTAGGTCACTATTGGTGAAGTTTCTGAAATATATTTCATGAGTGATTCATCCAGAAAATAGCATACAACAATCAAACTAATTGAAAACATATTGATTTAACTGAAGGTTTGGTTGAGCAATATGCACATCTTTGCACTTGGCATCACCATATTGATGATGACCAACAGTCTGAAGCTCATGTCGACGGTTGAGGTCTTATTCGTGAAATTTGTTCATGGGAATTTCCCAGGTTTTCAGAGAAACCCCCTCAAAAGCAGAGCTTGTGCGAGCAAGAAAGACCCGCGACCTACAGCTTAAGAAGTGGATTCCGAATCACTTCAGCTCCCTTCGAAAAACTTGTGCGAGCTAAGGAAGATAGGACCCTTACCTTTCAGAGTGTGATATCATGCACGAGTCCGGTAAACGAGCAGGGAATCCAACCCACGACCCCACGGTTGAAAGCGAACGCTCTATGCCAAGCACTTCATCACGAACTACGCCCAATAAATTTGTTTCATCATATGTTCATAAATCTTATATAAATACTTCGTTTACCTAAAAGATGAGTACGTGGAATCAATTGTTTGTTCTTAATCAATTCATTACATTATCATTCAGATACAAATCGACAGAAAGTATCTACAAAAATATATGAATGGTTTGGTAATAAATAGGTAATATTGATATACTGAACATAATAAGTTCAAAATAAATATGTTTTATAGTATGTGTTTGTTTTCTGCGCTGGAAGTATATCAATTTGATAATTCAGTTAATTGAGATGGACAGTGGATGAGAGTTGATCTACGGTAATTTGAGTAGAGAGAATACTTTTTAGATATTGATTATTTGAATGACACAAAATCTATTTATTCATTTTTTTCTATGAGATAATTCAATTTACAATGAATAATAAACATTGAATAAGATAAAATTGAGATTCACCTAATCTGCTACAGCTAATACACAAACTACTTACTTATAGTAGGTGGTTTGTGAACTAATACATACACACTAATTGTATAACGACAAAACAAGAGTGAAATACAGGACTAAGCACTAACATCTTTCAATACCTTCCTAATATCACATACAATCACAGAATACGTCAAAGCTATAGTAATACCTGTTGAAATATATTTTGGTTCTATTGGAGGGGAGTGATAAGCATAGCTAGTCGTATGTATTGAAATAGTGATTATTTCAGGTGTGAAAGTTTTATAGGCACTGCAACAGTTTCGAATAGATGTTGCCAGAGATCAATTCATTTAGGAATGCCATGTCAATATCACATCTTCTGTCGGAAAGTGTTTGGCTATTCAGCATTTTATTAAGCTCAGCATATTTAATTCTCCTCTAGCTAGCCTCAATTTATATGTAACTGTGATTTCATTAAAGTGTTCATCAAAAGTGATATTGGTATCAAATTTTACTCCCAAATCCTCAATTTTATTGACACGTGATAGTTGTCTATTGATAATTTGATGAGGAAAGTTGATTTCTATTTTCACAAACAAAAAAGATGCGGCTAAACACTTTTTTACGCTACGATTCATCTTGTCGAAACTAATATACTAAATTATCTGTAACCTCTTATAAAAGGATTGGAACTGCACTTGGTTTCAACGAAATTCGACTACCCTTCATATATACATCGTTTGGAGAAAAATGTTTGCTGCAAATGATATTTTTTCACTCAGATGCTCCATGGTAGGATGTCTTCCCAAAATGCAATGCCATTCCCATGCCAAATGTCATGCCTTGCTCTCGCCAAGCTTGAAGTGATTTATGTAATTCAAACGTAACGAAACGATTATTATGCCCAGGGTTATTTCTGATCTTTTCATATTTAAGTCACTTTCGAAAAATAATTGATTCCAGAAATATTTCCTTCATTTTCACACCATAGAACCAAGCACGTCAACATTGTCAAAATTAAAATTTCACAAAAAAAAAACTCGAAAACTTATGAAATACACACAACTGATGAATAACTAGAGTAAAGAACAGTAATAAGAAAATCACATCTAAATAAACACAATAATGTCAGTGGTTAATATCACAATTATAACACAAAACAACAAAACCGGCTCTGGCAAACTCTCAGCCTTCCTCTGCAGCAATTGAAAATTGTAAACACTATTGCATGATCCCAAAAATTCAGAGGGAATTTGAGTAGGCTTCACAGTAACGTTGGATTATCTTCGACAGAATCTCGACTACAAAAATAAAATTTTCTGAAATTTGTCAATGCTGCAGAGCTAGGAGACTGGTTTTGGGCATGCGCATTAACAAAAATATTTAATATTCGACAATTTTCAGAGCAAACGTAGATGGAATTAGCGATCTATAGTAATTATATATAGTATATAACTCTGGCGTGTCTTCTAAACGGTAGTCTTGCGCATTATACTTCACGAGAGGGAGCGCTCATTTTAGTTCGCAGCTCTTAAACGAACTAGTTCGATCTTTTAGTTCGTTAGTTCACTACTTCAGGCCGCGAAAGACCTACTTGTTGTCTTATTCGCTTGCGTTGATCAAAAATTTATTTAGGTAAAAATAAACGACAATACCTGTTTGTAAACAATCAACTTTTAATCTTTGGAATTAGTACATATTAATTTGTATTTATCTATCTACTAATGATGACACAGAAAAACTGGTATGTTCTTACCCACTTAAAAATAAATTTAGACATTTTCTTATCATAAAAAACATAACAGTCATGGTTTTATTTTAACAGTAACGTCATAACGGTGAACTATACAGTGGCGCCGCGCCGCGCTCTCGATTTCTCGCCTCAGTGCCGTCGAACTAAGAAGTGACGGGTCTGCGAACTAGTTCGTTCATAAGATCGCTCTTTCGACCTAGTTCGTTCACGAACTACACAAAACTACTAAACGGTATTCTGTGGTCAGGACCTATTTTTTAATCACTTGTGTTCTGCTTGAACGTAAATCTGCGATTGTTATTGTGAACGCTCTCTAAACCTGTTGCATCGCATATGTGATATATGTGTAAACTAATGAATCGAAGAGGTTTTGTATTAAAGTGTATAATATTTTAAAATTTTTGCAAAGCGCTTTCGACTTTCGTCATCATCAGTGCTCACTAATTTTTGTTTTAGTTTAATTTTAATCTTTTCAATTTCAGCTTTTTCGTTACTTGCAATTAAAATATTATCAACATAGAGTAATAGATAAATTGTTGAGCAATTTTCAGTTTTAAAATATAAACAAGGGTCATAATTGGACTTGACTAAACCCTCAGCTTCAGCAAAATCATTGAATTCAGTGTTCCAGCAATAGGGTGCTTGTTTTAAACCATACAAGGCTTTGTTGAGCTTACAAACCTTACTTTCATCTTTAAAACCTTCAGGCATAGTCATGTACATGTCTTCTTTGATTGTACCATGTCAAAAAGCAGATTTTACATCTATTTGTTGAATATCCATACTTTTAAAATTAGCAACAGCCAATAAACACCGAACAGTGGTTAATCTGGCAACAGGTGCATAAGTTTCATGATAATCAAAGCTTTCTTTTTGCATAAATCCCGTGGCAACAAGCCTGGCTTTATATTTTTCTATGTCTCCATTTGCATTTTTCTTAACAAAAAAAAACCCATTTACATGATAATAATTTAACTTCAGGTGACTTATATACTTAAATCCATGTCTTATTCTTTTTCAGTGAATCCATTTCTTCCATCATATCATTTTTCCATAGGTTGTGATCAGGTCTACATTTAGCTTCTTCATAGCTTTCAGGCACATCATCCACAAAAGCTTCAGCATTCAATGCTAAGTGTTCGAATTCTTCTTCATTCAGAAATTCGTTTAGATACTGTGGTTTTCTAATTCTTCTTCCGCTTCTAGTTCTAGTATCTTCATTGTTTTCTTCAATATTTTCATTTTCTAAAATTTCTTCTGGTAACAAATCATTTTGAACTTCAATTTCAACTTTCGATTCTATTTTGTCTTCCTGATTCCGTTCAGTTTCTTTGCTTTCAATCAAGGTTATACCTGAATTTAGATGACTGATATTTTTACATTTGTCAAATACTATATTCCTACCAATAACAATAGTTTCTTCCTCAGGGTCCCATAGACTGAATGCATTAGTCACATATCCAACCATAATATGTACCTTTCCTTTAGGATCAAACTTTCCTTTCTGCTTTTCTTTGGGTATATGGTTGTATTCCAAACAGCCAAATATCTTCAGATTTTTTAAATCAGGTTTTTTATCATAAAACAATTCAGCAGGAGTATAAGCACTGTTTAAAGAATTTGAAGGACTTCTATTTATGAGGTAGGCAGCACAAAGTACAGCTTCACCCCAGAAAGTTTTAGGTAACTTGGCTTCAAGTAACATAGCTCTTCCTTTCTCAATGAGGGTTCGGTTCAGTGTCTCTGCACATCGTTTCATTTCCGGATTATAAGCTACAGTATAATAAATTTGCATTACAGAAACCTGTAAACTCACGAGAGCAATATTCACCACCGTTATCACATGAAATTTATTTGTAACAAAGTCTTCAA